ACATATATTTTGTCTTCTAAGCAAAGTCGGTGAGGAGTATGATTCTTTTTTGATTCTTTTGTATAGTGAATAATAACGTTCGTTCAAAGCTAAGAATGACTTTTACGGCAATTTTCTATTAGTGAAACGTTACGTTCCCAAAAAGTACTCTAAAGTGTATAAATAAGTTACCCTGGCAATTGATTTACATCAGCCGATCAAACGAATGTCTGACCATGACTTCAGACTCAGATTTGAATTTTAATCATGTGAGGTTGTACAAAAATCAAAAGTTGGATAGGTATGATTGGTTAACTATATTTTTATGATATTAGTGGAGTCGAATTGGAGTTGACTCTAAGCAACTTGACTCTAACCGGCTCGAAAACCGATTAAACCGAGCTGTTTAACATCCCAAACACCGGCCAACTGGCCGATGGCCAATAGCCAAACTTGGCCAAAAATTTATAATTTAGATAATATTAGCCAATCATATTGCTATATAGATTTTCTTGCCCTGGCAACACTGGACTATATAAAGGTTTGATTTACATACGTAGTACATTGGATACCCCAACGCGACGTGTTTTATACCTGACGCCATAAGATTTTCTACTAAAATTTTTTTTATTACGTACTTTTGAGAAATCGTGTAATGCCCGTGTCGCAGCGTAAACGACGTGCAACTGGCAGGGATTTTAGTGGCGTTTTTGAAAAAATTCGCCGATTACGAGAAACGGGAGGCTCTCGTGCACAGGAGTATGAGGTATTTATTAGATTTAACTGTAGTTTTGTATCAGTTATGCGTGTTAGAATTGCGTTTATAGTGGGACTCCATATAGATTCAAGAGCCAGAGCCAATTTACATCGAAGTTGATGAGGAAGAATATCAAGAGCATCTTAAAGAAAGAGAAAAAGACAATTTCATCGAAGATGATGATGGCAAAGCAAATTTATTTGCTGAAGATGATTTGGGAAAAGAATATTCAGATGAATCTGATTACGATGATCGTTCAATGGATGGTTACTATTCCTCTTCCTGTTCAAAATCAGAACAATTTTGTTTAATTGCTAATTTAATACAAAATTGCAGGAAAAGGGAAAAAGAATCAAAAGTTTGAGGATGAGGCAGAGGTTCGACCGAATGCAAGGCTTAATAGTTTTTTTCAGCGGGCTGCCGCCACGCAAAACTCAAAACCAAAAATAGTGAGAATATTTTTTTGAATCGTTAAAATGGGTACTCTATGGTCACGTGACACGCGTAATACGCTTAAAAACTGGCTGATAACTTTACAGAGCGATTAATTTTTAAAAATCTGAGCCTTTCAATTCTACCATAATTAAATTTTAAAAATCTGACTGATAGCTTACGAAAAATAGTTATCAGTCAGTTTTGTGTTGTCTTGATGTTGAAGGACTGACTTTCTCACGTGATTATAGAGTATAGGTTACTTAAGACCATGTATAATTGTAAATATTAATTATTTATTTAACCACATAAAGATTAAGTCAACTGAAGAAGAAACTGCGTTTTTATCTGACCTTTTAAAAGATCTGGATGACGATAGCGACGAACAGGATGATTCAGATTTGTACAAACCATTAGCTGCCGATCAAACGGACGTAATGATGATGGTAAAAAATTTAGATGATGATACCGAGGGACAAGATAATTTGGATTCGTATGAACCATTAGTTTCCGATCAAACGGACGTAATAATGACGGTAAATGATTTAGATGATGATACCGAAAAACAAGACAATTCAGATTTGTATGACCCATTAGTTGTCGATCAAATGGACGAAATAATGACGGTGAAAGATTTAGATGACGATACCGAAAAACAGGACAATTCAGATTTGTATGACCCATTAATTGCCGATCAAACAGACGTAATAATGATGGATTTGGAGAATGACAAAGATCAAAGCAACTTGGATATCTCTTCTAACGATCAGCAAGTGGACAAAGAATTTGACCATGGTAATGGTTGTAGAATGTTCTGGATTGATGCGTATGAAAAACAGGGGAATGTGCATCTTTTTGGAAAAGTTAGTTTTCTATTAATGCGTTATCATAAAGTATAATCGGGTTTCTGACTCCCTCTATATTTTTATTAGATCTTTGATAAAGATGCCAATTTGTATGTGAGTTGCTGCCTAATCGTTAAGAATATTGATCGGAACATTTTCGTTTTGCCAAGACAGTATAAACTTGATGGTTTGATTTAGCTTGTTTTGTATATCGCTAGGATTATCGTGTATAACTTTTCACTAAACTAGTACTCATGATTCCTTTAGATAAAGGAAACGAAACCAACATCAAAGTCACTATGGATGATGTTTTCGAAGAAATTGAATCTTTGAGGCATAAATACAGAATTCCTAAAATCGCGACTAAGACCGTTTCGCGAAAATATGCATTTGAGTTGTCTGACGTACCTGTTCAGTCAGATTATTTAAAAGTGGTGTATTCGTTCTCATGTAAGCTTATACTTTCGATAAAGCTCAAAGTACCATTTCGAGACTTTTATATAATACTTATATATCATAATTTATTAGACCCTTCATATCCAAGCGATTTAAGTGGAAAAACCTTTAGTCGTATATTTGGAACGCAATCTTCTGCAGCTGAATTGTTCTTGATTAAACGGAAAATCAAGGGTCCCTGTTGGCTTGAGATTGAAGGTGCCCAAGAACAAACTGCTAAGGTATGTTTTACGATTCTTTTTAATAGTCACTGTCGTGAAATTTACCTAAATTCGCGATACTTAGGTTTCCTGGTGTAAGCGTGAATTATTCGTTAAAGATCCGAAAAATGTAAACCCCTTAAAGGAAACAATACCATTGAAATCTCCACCTTTGACGATAATGTCATTGAGTTTACGTAACATAATGAATCATCAAAAGCGAGCAAATGAAATAGTTGCCTTTAGTGTGCGAGTTTATCCTAAAGGTATTTAATTAATTTTAATTTATCATAAATTTTTTTAATAATATTATTAAATGTTTTTTTTCAAAACAGTTTTTTTGGATAGACCAATTTGCGTAAAGGAGCTCCCATCAATTCAGCAAACATCGATTAGACAATTAAACGATAAACCGTGGTGGCCTGCACAATTTGAAGATATGGTGCAAGGAAACAAAAATAAATTAAATCTGACTTTGGAAAAGAATGAATACTCTTTATTAAACCGCTTTTTAGGTCAGTATAATCCTAATGTACGAAGATTTTACTTTAATAATCATGATACATATTATACAATCATCGTTTGAATCTACAGCCATTATTAAGCGGAATGATCCGGATGTTCTAGTTGGACATAATATCATTGGATTTGAGTTGCCCATCTTATTGCAACGAATGGAAGCATTGAAAGTTAGAGACTGGTCCTGGATTGGAAGGCTCCACAGACAAATGTATTATTTCTCATATTCGATTTTTTTATTTGAAATAAGTATAATCTCACCAAAATTGATAATATTTAAGATGGCCAAACTTTAGTATTCGCACAAGTAGTAAAGGTGACATGGCATTTAAAGATAGAGATTTTGTAAGCGGTCGATTAATATGCGATACATTATTCAGTGCAAAGGTAAAAATATTATTAGACCTTGCAATTTTATTACGGTCGTTATAGATTTTTGCTTTTTACTTTTTTTTTTCTTTGACTTACACTATCTTACTATCCAGGATCTCATTAAATCAAAAAATTACTCTTTAACTGAATTGGCACTATCACAATTAGGTGTCAAGCGAAAAGATGTTGATTGTGAGAAAGTTGTAGCAAAATATGAACGGGCCGATACTCTGTTTGATTTTGTTCTTCATTGTCGCTACGATTCAGTTCTTACGTCAGAATTGATGTTTAAGCTGCAGATACTACCACTAACCAAACAGCTTACTAATTTGGCTGGAAATATTTGGTATATTTCCCTTCATTTTGATTTGTACAAATATTTTATTATACATTAATAAGTTTGAAATTTATGTGTATATTTATTTCAAGGTCCAAATCTCTCACCACTGCCAGTAGAGCTGCCCGCAATGAATATCTATTATTACATGAATTTCACCAGAATAAATATATCTGTCCGGACAAGAATTATAATAACAAATCAAACATAAAGAATGCAGAAAAAGCTGCCGGGGGCGATGAAGAGGGTAAATTATGATATACTTAAGTTGTATTAATTATTCATTTTACGTAATCATTAATTTTTGCAACCTGACTTAAAGATGAAGGAGTTGATACTATTGTAAACGGATCACGGAAAAAATCAAACTATGCAGGAGGGCTTGTCTTAGAACCTAAAAAAGGGTTTTATGACAAGTACGTGGTCATGCTGGATTTCAATAGTTTATATCCATCAATTATTCAAGAGTATAACATTTGCTTCACTACGATTGGACGAACTGGCAAGGTGATTCTATTTGAAATATTATATGAAATACGAAATGTTACGAAACGTCTAAATTCATTTAACAATTTGTAGGAAACGGATGATTTACTTCCTGACCTTCCTGAACCTGATTTGCCTCAGGGGATTCTTCCTAAACTAATAGCAAATCTAGTTAATAAAAGGAAGTTGGTTAAAAACTTGATGAAAGATCCAAAAGCATCGCCTGGTGATCTCGCACAGGTGAACAATTACGAATTAAATTCAGATCAAATTCCTAATTTCATAACTATTAATTATCTATGCTTGTGAAATAGTATGATATTCGTCAGAAAGCTCTTAAACTTACGGCAAACAGCATGTATGGTTGTTTGGGCTATCCCCTATCCCGATTTTATGCGAAAGCTTTGGCCATGTTAATCACTTCTAAAGGCCGGGAAATCCTCCAAGATACTGTTAATTTGGCGGAAGGTGAAGGCATGGAGGTATAAAATCGACTATTAATGATAAGATTCAAATATTTTCGATTTATATATATTTGACGTTATCTATGCATAGGTTATATATGGAGACACAGATTCAATAATGATCCACACCAACACCACAGATCTACATGAAGCATCTGAAATAGGAAGGATGTTAAAAAAAAAGGTTAACCAACAATATAAACTGCTTGAGATCGAAATGGATGGGTTTTTTGAAAAGATGCTACTTCTGAAAAAGAAAAAATATGCTGCCGTTATTGTTGAAGAGAATAATGGAATTTTGACACGATCTTATGAGACAAAAGGTATCGATCTGGTCAGAAGAGATTGGTGTGAACTGGTTCGCGACGCTTCTAAGTATATTATAATTACTAACAATATTTGTAATTTGTTTATTGATAACGTTTCAACCTAATTAATTCTGGTTTAAATATAGATATATTTTGGATCAAATTTTATCATCATCTGATCGGACTGCAGTGGTCAATAACATCCACGAATATCTGATACAGTTAGGAGATGATATTCGTTCTGGGAAATTTTTTATCGATAAATTTATTATAAATAAGGTAATAATAATAATGAAATAATAATAATAATAATTAGAGTTCCTACCCATTATCCGTTTATCTATTGGATATCCAGATCTGAATTTATTCGGATATCCGTTTTACTATTGATATCCAGATAATTATCCGAATATTTGTCGGATTATCCGGATACCAATAGTAAATGGATATCCGGATTGGACCTCTAATAATAATAATTACGTTTAAACACGTTAAAAAGCATGATAATAAAATTTTCATTATTTTATTGCGCTTTCATAGAATCTCACTAAAGCGCCGGAGGCATATGCTGATATTAAAAGTCAACCACATGTGCAAGTTGCATTACGGATGAAAAACAAAGGAATGAGCGCTCGACAAGGAGATACCATTCCTTACGTAATATGCATTAGAACAGATGAAAATGATATAACTAGTAAAAATCTTGCCGACAAAGCATTCCATCCAGATGAAATCCGAAAAGAAGACTCTAATTTACAACCTGGTACGTTTACAGCCACTTTTTTTTGCAATAGTTATCATTTCCTTATCTCGTTTTCATACTTTTGTTAGATTTTGAATGGTACTTGAACCAACAAATTCACGCAGCCGTCGCTAGATTGTGTGAACATATTGAGGGAACGAGCAGTGTAAAGATTGCCGAATGTTTAGGTAGGCTTGAAATTCACCGAAATAACGTGATTAAATCAGCTCAGAATTTTAAGGTTATGTTCATTTGTTTCTTTCGTCAATCAAGGACTTGATAAATCAAAATTCGTGCCAACAGTGAGTAATAGCACGTACAATACATATAACTCTCAGATTACTGATGAGGAACGCTTTAAACATGTTGACAAATTGATGATAAAATGTATTCATTGTCGAGAATCTTACACGTTTGAAGGATTCAATTCTATCACGGTTAGTATTACTTGTATTCACGTTATTGTAATAACCAGATTGATACTCATAAAGCTTTTAGGGGCACTTGTTGGACGAAACTGGATTTTATTGTGGCAATCCTAATTGTATGAGAGCACTACCAACTTCATCAATACTTGCGCAACTTACTTGCAGTATTCGGTCTCAAATAAAAAAATTTTATGACGGCTGGAATATATGTGAAGATCCTACATGCAGATATCGAACAAGAAATATAGCGAGAACAAGATGTACACAAGGATGCCGTGGGAAAATGGTGGCCGAGGTAAAGTATTAATTTTATAATTGTATTTAATTAGAGATATTATCAGTTTAATCCGGATTGTACATATATAAAGCGCTTAAACGAAGAGTCAAATGAGAATATAACATTACGAATTAAGGAAACTGAAGTTGTACTTTTTTTCTTTTTTTAGTTTTCCGAGTATAGGTTATATAATCAGCTTACTTACTATGCACATTTATTTGATGTGGATAAAATCAAAATTACGTCGCAGACGCCATTAAATATTGGTATGATTTTTAAAACATTAAGGGTAAACTTTCCTAATTAACGCTAATTTTTTATTGATTAATCTAGGCGATAATGTAATGTCACAAATAAAGCGGCTTAATTCACTTGCAGAAAGATATTTGACAAAATCCGGATACGGGAATATAAAATTAGGGTCATTATTTCATTTTTATCTTTAACCTGGGGTTTCTGGACCAGTGTTGTTGGACTGGAAACCGGAGCCAATGTTCCAGTGACTTCAGTGAAAAGTTCCGCTGGATCGATTTTTTCACTAGTGCTGTACATGTATATCATTAACCAATAAAATTGCATGGATAGTCAATAACATTTTTTTAATAAACTAGGCTAATGTGTAACTATACTTGCCGCCCAAATTCAAATCTATAAATCCAAATTCCAAAGTCAAAAATAGAACAAATCCCAAATTAAATACAAATTCCAAATTAAGGGGATGTCTAAAGCGGAGTAGATTCTTTATATTTTATTAAATTAACTTTAGTGCTAGGATCATCTTAGATTAAGGTTAGGGTAGGTTTTAGATAGTTATACAGTCGCACCCCTCTAAGTGCACGCCCTCGAGACCATAGTAAAAAAAAGGCAATATGTGCACTTTGAGGGGGTGTGCATTTAGAGGTTAAATTTATAATTGTTACATTATTTGGGACCACGAGGGGTGGTGTGCACTTAGAGAAGTTTTTCATATACCGTGCACTTAGGGGGGGTGCAACTGTATATGCAAAATTGCCCCGTCATTTTTACTTGACTCACCCAAGGTAGGTTTGGACTGTTGTTTTTTGTATTTTTCAAGATTTTCGCTTTTCTTGCTTCGCCGGCGATCGTCAAAATTTTATAATTTTATTGGCCAAGAATCACGTGATGCTGCTCCGCTAAATTAAGTCTAAATCCCAAATTAGATACAAATCCCAAATTAGATACAAATCTAAATTAGATACAAATTTTAAATTAAATACTAATATTTGTAGTCAATTTTTATTTATCAACTTGACTAAGTTGATATTTAAAATTTAGCTTAGCTGGCTAAGTTAGAGTTGTTAAATACTGTATTTTTTATTTTTAAAATTTATTGGTAATTTTTGTTACAATTTTATGTTGATTTTTTTTTTAGATTTTTTTGGCTCTTACTTTAGTATTATATATTAAAAGAGATAATATATTGAATTTGATTGGTATTGTTATGGGCAAAGAAGGATTGTCAAATTGGCACAGTAATTTTATGACTAAACCAGATATAATATTGGAATTCCAGATTAATGATTATATAAGGCTTATCTGCCAAAGAATAAAAAGGATAATCTATATGAGATCTGAAGAAGAATTCTGAAAAGAAGAAACCAAGATCAAGAAAGAAAATTTGAAAAATAGCTAAAGAAAGAATTCGTTAGAAGAAATTATTATTATAATTATTATAAGCTCCTTAAAGTATAATAGCTTTGCCATAATTCTTTAAATAATATATTATTAAAATTATCTTTAAACTTCTTAAACTCATTAGAATAGAATAAGCTATAAAAGCACTAAGAGTTCATGTTAGTTAAAAGATATCCTCCAGGATTCCAATAATTTATTCCTAACATCTTTAATAACTTATACTGATAATTTCTTTTAATAAAATTTGTCAAATCACCAATGTTATACCTCTGGCAAGTTGCTTTATCATATAAATTATATCATTATGTATATAAATTAATAAAACCTTATGATTTACTTTGTAACAGTACTTTAATATAATCTAATATAAAATTAACTAAGTTAATTTTTTAAAAAATTGGCCAACTAAGCTAAGTTAATAAAAATCAACTATACAAAATTGATTACAAATACTATTAAATATATACAATTTTCGATTTAGTAAAGTGGTGGAGTTGTCGCACCTTTAAATGGCAGGTCTAGAGTTCGAATCCCACGGACGATGATTTTGAAAAAACTAGATCTGTATCGGTTAATGTTAAGATTATCAGTTGAATCCAGATATCTGTAATCTTGGTTAC